CAACATGATGCATACTGCAGAAAATACAATGTTCATATATAGGGCTTTAGCATAGCAACAAAGTAAAGCAAAACACATTAAAAACAGACAAAACATAAAAGAGGGAGGGGTAAAAGGACCAATATCACCAGGATATGGATAGGCTAACATAAAGGTGATTTTGCTGACACAGGGGGAGGGGACTTCCATCGATTATTCGCAATGGTTTCAGCAAACCTCGACAATCTTGCGACTTGTGACTTGTAGACAATTCGAAACGCTGTGCCTCGGTCGACCTGGTGTTGTGTCATCAGCAGATGTCGAGCAATTGCTGAGGACGAGGTCTTGTAGTTTCGACCGTCGTTTCTATGCTGCGGACTTGATCTCAATTGGGTCAGCTGATTTTTGACCAAATTCGGAATATGTTCCACCACCCGATTGCGTAACTGTCGCTCTGTTCGGCCCATGTAGGTTGCTCCGCAACCACATTGGAATTGGTAGATTAGAGTTGGCGTACAGAGGCAGACCTGCTTTTGCCGGGGGTGTGGATATCCTGGTTGTTTGGTAGACGATTTGGGGGTCGGCTGCGTAGTAGGTTCGAACGATTGTTGACCTCAGTCGTTTGTAGAACAGGCGGCTTACGTCATCACCTTTGAATTGAAGGTGTAATGTGACCCGCAATTTGGGAACTGACGCAATCGGTTCTTTCGCAATTTTTGGTTTGCTGTGCTTATAAACAAACGCTTCGAGGTAAGCGTTTTTCGCTAAAAACTTCAGGAGGTTTTTCACTTCTTGTCCAATTCTGTCTTCCGTGCAGATTCGCCTCGTTCTGTCAAATTAGGTCCAAACAAGACCACGTTTATACTCCAGGGGCATAAAGCTCTCGAAGTATAAATATTGGCCAGTCCACGTTTCCTTTCGATAAACGGATCGAGCAATCGTTCCGTTTTCTCTTCTGGTCACAGTAATGTCAAGGAAATTGAGTGTGCTGTTGGATTCATATTCCATTGTGAAGTGTATATTCGGATGTAGTCTGTTGAGTTCATCCATAATTTTCGTAGCTTCTTCTAAGCTTTCTCTTAAAACCAGGGTGTCATCGACGTATCTTTTGCACAGGATAGCGCGCCCCAGAATATTAGTTCCTTTTTCTTCCAGATGTGCCATGAACAAGGCTGCCAGGACTCGGCCTAGAGGGCTACCCATAGCGACACCATCGATTTGCCAATGGGACAATTGTTATTGATTGATTAGAACCGATCGTTCTTTAACCCTCACCATCACGCACATTCCGGGTCTATGGTTGACTGGAAGAACTGAGGAACGTGCGTGAATGTGAAGTTCAAAGGATGGTAATTTCTGGACAATCAATTTCTATTATGTCACACTACTACTCACAAGTAACTGTGAGTTAAATGCGAATGATTAACTCAGCCTGGTAGATTTGTGATCAGTTGGCTCATAACTTGCATGGAACACCAAATTTGGTCAGAGGCTTTCGATTGACGTAAACAGATAGTCAACTGTGTGTGCCTCTCGCTCTCTTCGTTTCTCTCGGGCCAACTCGAACTAACGGATTATCTCTGAAGACGACATTAGAACAAATGTGAATTGGCAATTCTGTTTAGCCATGGTAGGAGATGGTTGGCGCAGTGATATCAACCACACATCTTCCATGCGATGAATCTGGAGTACAGAATCCCGAAGGGATGGTGTAGATGCACTACTGATGAGTAGCTCTAATACGAACGCAATTCGAGTCTAGTGCTTCTGAGTATATGTTTGTCGAGACGAGCTGAGGAATTTGTGTGAATTTGAAGTGTGAACGATGGTTAGTTCTGACCAATCAAGAACCAACAATAATTTAAGCGATTACAGTTGTGTCAGAAAAATTCGCAAACACATCGCAGAACGAGTTAACCACCCAAAAGAAAAGATGTTTCAGTCTTTCGTATTCAATAAACTTTGGATAGATCCGATCTAAAATAATCCCGTAAATGTTTCACAAAACCTGTGTAAATTCAATCAAATTAACGGATATATATGACGGGTACATTTTTACTGAATGAGAAACTAATTATGCCGAACAATTTGATAACGAGAATAAGATTGGTTGAAAAAATCTGATATCTGATTTTCCAATTGATAGGTAACAATATCGCATTCTCACTGTCGTGCTTATCCACGTACTGTGTTCCTAGTCGTACCGCACACGCTTGTCCGTGCACAGATAGAAGCATATAGAAGCGTGCGAGATTTTATGTGAGCCAAAGGGTCTCTGGTCCCCCCCTCCCTGCCTATTCTATTCATTGATCACATCTTAGACTAGATCACAAATGAAAATGTAATCAATCGGTACACGAACGACACGGGAGAGATCAGATAAATTTGAGATAGTTTGCTAGGATGAAAACCAAGCGATTTTTTTATTCAGTCACATCACATGTCCCCCTGCTCCCNCTCCGCAATGCTCACCGTCCTCCTTGTTCGGGCTCGAATAAACAGCTTCAAATAAGCTGGGCAATTGCTTCTTTACCAGCTTATACAGAATAGATAGATAGATAGTTGGTCGCAGACAGTTTGATGTCCGGTCTGGCTGGGAACTTCCACAAAGTATCACGAGGTACAATGATACTACGATTCGTTAGAACAGAGAGAAGACAAATACTGCGAGATTTTAACATTTAAATTTAAATCTCTTCACTCGCTACAACGTCAAACAATCTGGGATTTAAATACAAGAACAAATTTTGATAACTTCAACGGGCACTAGTCAAGGGAGCGAAAGACGCTGCTGGATAATGGTTATCCTTAGAAATCTCTTTTGATGTGCATAACAGACGAGGGTCACTGGTTGATATCCTTTGTGGAGTAGCGATGAAAAACGTCTTTCCCAGACTCACAGGCGCGTTAAATGCTCAAGGGGGCATTATGTCGAACGTTTCCGCCCGCACAGATTCCATTGATACCGTACACCCAAGGACCTTGG